ATATATATATATATATATATATATATATATATATATATATATATATATATATATAAGAATTAAAGCATAACGGGTTTTAGGAAATTTCACGTGTTATTTAAAAACAGAAGCGGCTGGATATTTATCTATTATTGTTGGAAAGTTTATTTTAGAAGATGCTTTTGATGACATAGAGGTACATACAGCATAGTAATAATATCTGTACAGGTGATGGAGTGATTCGTATGACAGTGAAAGCATCTGTATAGTTTAACTCTCAACGCTATGTTTTGTTATGTTTTGTTATTGTCCGAATAAAATCTATGAAGAAAACTGGAAAAGGTCTGCAATTTGGTCTGATCACTAACCGCTAATGTAACGATGGTCGCAATATGAAGCAGTTTAATGAAGAATATATAGCATGTTTTGTCATGCAATGAAGAATATAAGCTGTATACTTATTATGCATGGATGTGTGGTACTGATATAGGAGGAGCTAGAGAGTCCTTCCGCTTTCGAAGAAGGTCGACATCGGATGCGTTCGAGAAGACTCGCCAGAACAGACCAAGCTCTTCTTCTCCTTTCGATGTGTGAGAAATGACCCTCGTCGCTCTCCTCCATGATCACTAAAAAAATGAAATTATAGTTTGTTTTCCTCTGCTGTTTCTGGTCATGCTGTATCCATTTTTGTTTACCTTTTGTGCGTATATATATATATATATATATATATATATATATATATATATATATATGTGTGTGTGTGTGTGTGTGTTCATCAGTTGAGTGGTTGAAATCGTGGATGATGCAGTGGTAGGTTTGTGTGGTTTAACAGCTCAGTGTTCTGTCCAGTGTTAAACTAGTTATGGTTATATGGTCGGTTAGCTGTAAATATGTAAAAACGCAGGTATGGGCGTGCTTTTGCTAAGTGTACTGTGTATATATAAAGCCTTTTGAAAGGTTTGTTTATTACTGTTTGCTTTCACGCTCTAAGCTGTTTCTGGGTAATTCTTTCCACACATTTTGTATCTGTTTTCTGAAAAATGAGGTATCCTTGAACATGTTGTTTTGGAGCTTGAAGTTGTGTTCTTGGTTTCATGGAGGATAGAGGGAGATGAACATAAAAACTAAAAAGTTGAGAGAGGGTCCAATATGTCTGGCTTTAAGGATGGCGATTAGTTTTGTGGAGAGGTGGCCTTGTCTTGAAGCAGGGTTTGGAAAGCGACACTTTATAATGGGCTTGGTCCACGAATATTCGTTAACATATTTTACCTATCTTTTTGTCGGAGCCTCCTTTTTTAAGCAACACATGAAAAAGTTTATTTTAGAACTTCAAATCTTGCTTATATATGCAAACCAGGTTATTCTCCTTTGATGTTCAAACCATTAAATGAGTTAATATGTTACATACGTTCTGTGTAAAATTTTCTTTTTCCTTCGCAACATGATAATTTTGGGGACGTAATGTGGAACAATAATTCCAAATCAACAGCCAGTACAGTGGTTTTTATCAGCCATTACAGCCGGACAAACTAACCAAAACACAATAAATAAATGAAATTTAAACGGAACGATTGCATGAATGTAAAACTTGTTTTGCTAAAGCATTCTCTCCAGTCTGCTTCCCAAATCTTCTCATTGAATTTAAAGGTAATTTTACAATTTATAGAAAAAAAATAACATTAGTTGATTGTCATATAAAATTAATTAAATCGTTATAATCTCGTATCACTAGATAATTTCGTGCTATATTCTGCCTGATTTATGAAAAAATAAAATAAAAATACTGAGACTAATGGAGAATGGAACCAAAAGATCATCCTAGTATATTTATTTGACTTTCCTTAGATAAAGGAATCTCTAATCTATTAATTATAGATTATAAGAGAAATTTGCGTGGAGAAAATATACTAACCTATGACCACTGTTTTTCTTTTTTTATCAGCGGACATATATATTAGAGTAAGTTGAGGGGTCTTTCGAATAATTAATTGGAAATATACAATACCAATGATGCCTCATGCTAACATCTAACATACTTAAGGTGATATTAATATAATCTTTTAAATGACCATTTTGTTTACGTTTAACAGTTCTTTTGATTTAACTTTTTTTAAAACTAATCATTTTTAATTAAAAAATCACTTTTGATTACAATAAAAATTATTTAAATTTAATTTTATAATTATAATAATAACATTAATAATCATTTTATTAGTTTTATTATCTTAAAAAAAAGTAACACATGTCAATCGTGTTTGCACTAGTATACATTCTTTTATATCTTGCTATCAGTTACAAGATGTTATTGGTAAAAATAAATAATGAAATAAAAATTCAAAATCGTTGTTATTTGTTCAGGCTCGTCTTTGTGCTCGTTACGTATATCATATATAGTTGCCCAAATAGAATAAGCTACCTGGAGGAGATTGGGCTTTCCTATGTGGGCCATCTTTGGAGGAGTATAACGAATTTGGGCTTATAATTTTTAAGCCTTGATGTATTGAGAAAAAGAAATGATTTGGAAGGTTCCCATTTGGATTGAATAGCACCGTGTTTGGCTGCAGCGTAGTTAGTGTTGGAGACTCAATGAAATCTATGGTGGTTTAGCGGGTATGGATCGGAAGCAGTCCCGGCTTGGACCCAAGAATATGGATTATAGCTTCTTGCTTTTGCTCCTCCTCTTTCATGGCGTCCTTCCTCACTCTTCTGGTTTACCTTCTCTCTTTTATACTTTTTCACTTAAAGAAAAAATAAATAAAAAGACATCTTCTACTGATTTTACAATTTTTCATTGTGATCATCATCGTGTTAAGATAAAATTCGATATTAAGCTTAAGCATGGATACGCCGAAATAGAAAGGGCAGTTATTTTATTCTTTTTGAAATGCTTTGTAGTTTGAATAGTTAGTACTGTGATCGTTTTCGATCCGGGTAATTCTTCAATTATGTTCCTTTCTGATAGATACGCACTCTAGCGTTGCTATATGAATTCGCTTCTTGAATTGTTTTGGAATGTTCGGTAGACGCATAGTGATGTTTTTGAGTTGGTCTTACAAGGTTCATTTCTGATTAGTAGTAACTTGACCCGCGCTGGCAGTGTTGGTCCTTGATCTTTGGTCTCATTTCCGTGATTCCTTCTTTCTCAGATAGGACATTCTATCAGAACCAAAATACCAAATGTGACATTTGTTTTTCTTTGCTTTGGCCATTCATTGTGTTGGTGAAGTATACTCCTCAACAGGATTATATAAATGGAACTGATTTATTGGATCACGTGTTGATATAAAGAAAAATTGAGTTTGTTTCAGCCAACCAAAAACCTTAATTTTGTTGCGAACGTGGGATAAATCGATGTACCTGTTATTACGACACATATGACGTATTTACCTACTTTGTCTCTTTGTTTCTTGCTTATTTCTCATGGACACACACATGAAATAGTGTAATCTACCAATGTCTAGTCTTTGCGCTTTGGCTTGCCTTGTCGGGATCATCGTTTCATCCTAGTTTCTGCTCACTTCTTTTTTCAACAAAGCTAAAATGGACTACTGGGCATGCTTGCCATTGCTTATGCGCATCCTTTAGTAAGCATGATGTTGTTGGAAATTTACCATGATAATAAATCCTGATCGTAAGTTTACAATGAGTAGTGAACTATTTTTTTTAGTGTTAGCTTATTGTGGATCATAATGGGCAAACCATTACTGTTCTGTCACAATCGCAATCTGCCTTGTAATTCAATTTTCATTCCATTTTATGCATTTTTTGTTTGCAATTAGTAATGCATCTTGTGATAAAATGTGTAACAACTGGTTTTTATGCAATTGAGAAGGTATCTACTCAAATGAGATAAGCAACAAATTGTTTTTGTAGGTCTTACTCTAATTTTATCTTGTTACTGCTCCTTTGTTACATAAACTTATTAGCAGTGTTCTTCTATGCATTTAATTCTCAGTTCTCTTTATCTTTTTCTGAATGAAGGTAAATCCAATGGAGTGTGTGTTTCTCAAGGAGGTCGTTTTCCTCCCTTCAAATCTGAGGGTAGTGTTCCCAAAAAGGGTCCTAAAGATTTGACCCTCTGCCGGATATTTCGTAAAAAGACTTGTTGTGATGTAACCCATACACATCCTGCTCTGATGTCTGTAAGGAAGCTAGCTACAACTGGGGAAGCTAACCCAGAGTGCTTGCACTTATGGGAACTGTTGGAATGTTCCATTTGTGATCCGCGTGTTGGTACTCAGCCTGGACCTCCTCTTATTTGTGCATCTTTATGTGAGAGAATTTATGAGGCATGCTCAAATGCTTACTTCTCTATGGATGTGAAAACACAGGTTTGTGGATGACTGTCTCTTTTTCAAAATAGTTTATACAAGATTATGAAAAATGCAGAGTCTGCATCAGTTGGTTAAGAAACAAAAATTTACATGTCGTTTGTCAAACATTCATTTGTTCTTTTGTCAAGAACCAAAAATTTACACATGATTGGTTTGTTGTTAATAATTCACAACAAAATGTTTTTAAGCTTTTGGCTCTGACATAAGCTTTTTATTTTTATTTTTGTGGAATAGAGAGTTTGGTATGTTTATGTTATCCTTTTTAATACCACAACATTGTTTAACATGGCACCTTATACCCATTTTTTGAATGATTTGAAACACCAGATTCTAGCACCTTGTGGCGTAAATGACTTTGTATGTGGTAGAGCTGCTGAATGGGTCTCCAACGGTACAGATCTTTGTGTTGCTGCAGGTTTTCGAGTGAGCTCATCTGATATTGGATTTATTGCCTCAGAAGAGGCTTCTTGCTATGGTGATAAATCCAGTCTAGGTTCTGTTGCTGATACATGGAAGACTTCACATCTTGAGTTGACCCAGAAAGGTGAGAGCTTGAGGATGTTGGATGATTTCCACCAATGGGTGAGGGAAATGCCATTCGGTGAAAGGGTTTCTTGGGCTATTGGAGGGATGGTTCTAACAGCAGGCTTGGTGTTTGTAAGGTCCGAATGTACTTTTATTTCCTATTATTGAGTAGCTGTGCATTTTTGTATGGTCCCGTTCCTATTAGAAGCGATTCTTCATGATTTTCTTTACTCGATGCATGCTGTCAAATTGCAGATAGTTGTGATAAAATTAATATTTTGCCCTTTGACATTGTACCAAATTCAAGTAGAGTTGCATCTTAAGCAGAATCTTGAATTTTTCTTATCTACTTTCTTAATGTTCATTCATTGACAAATGATTCCTTCATAATTATTCTTGGAATGGTGCTTATCTTCTTTTTATATATTGTACTCATACAGCAAAAGAAAAAGCCATAGCCAACGCCAGAAACTAGCTGCTATAAAGCGAACTGCGAGAAAGCTTGGGGGCAGGATGGTGGAGCAACTGCCTTCTAATGCTCAAGAACATAGAAGAAGAATTTCCAGATGAGTGTTCCTTGTATGTGATGTTGAGAACATAATTAACGGTGCTAATTTGTAGTTGAATCCTTGAGTTTCTTGTTATAATTATCAAAATGAAATCTTGCTGTATTTTGTACTCTCGCTTTTCTTCTTTTTGCATAGTTTTTTTGTAGTATTTTTCCCTTGAAGATAGTTTTCTTCAGACCGAAGTATAGTTGTTAAAAAGAGTTTGTTTGGTCTTATGGATTTTTTTCTGTAGAAAAATTATTTATAAATGAAAAACCATAGTTGTATAAAAGCGGGGGGTGCTTCCACATCTCTAACCCTTGTCCTCTCAGATTGCTCACTGCCTCATGCACCATGAGTCAATTCTATCGAGTCATTGATGTACAAATGTTGTCAGGGTATGGGAGGTATTATACCCTTCTTTAAAAGATTAGCAAAGGATGTCAGTAGTACCTTCTGGGTAGTGGAGAAATGTTAGAGGCATTTATAATTACATTTAAGGAAGAAAACGGACAAAAGTGATGCTGATTAAATCAAGAATATTTTTGGTCTTGGAAATATGATAGATTATAAGTTAAAAAAAAGTTCTCCATTTATTTAAAAAGTTTTATGCTAAGTTTGTGAGGAGTACTATGTATATCATAGCACATTCGTCTTTATATATCATGTATTATGTCGGTTAAAATTTATTAAAACTACAAAATCAGAAATTGGATTTCTGTTAGCTAATAGTGAAGTGATTTTACCAATCACAAAGTTTTATACATGAGATTTATAAAATGATTAGATGTCCAATAAAATTTAGTTAAGTAGTGTTATTAAAAACTCTGTTGCTTACTGTTTTCAAACTTCTTTTATGATAAGAATTAGACATAAATTTGAAAAGTTCTGGCTGATTGGAGCACTTCTAATTTTGTGGTAGAATTAGAAGCTGCTGATGAAAGCATTGACAGATAAAGGTTTTCGAGCCATAGTCTCAGACGTTCAAATCTTGTTCTTCAGAGAAGGATAGGAGCTGATTATCACGAATTTTAATATTCTACTCCATTTTTAAAATACACTGATTTTGATATTTTAAATATAATTTTTTAATATATTAACATTAGTATATTTTGAAGGTTGAGCAATGAAAAATATTAAAAAAATCAATAAAAGTCTAGACTCTAGTATCATTGCTGGACAGTGGAGTTCAAATGGGGTTATAGATTTTATTTGTTGGACTTCACCATCTCATTTTGTTGCATATCCAACATATCTCTTAATTAACTGTTAGAAGCTAATTCTTTCCAAACACACTGATTATTAAAATAAGTTTTATTTTTTTCCATATACACTTTATTAAGGATCGTTATTGATTTGGTTGGCATGGCAATGAATCCCATCACCTAAATTAAGACCAATTACATAGAATCAAGAAATGGATTCTTTTCACTTCTAATTGGAATCAAACTAATTATATTTCATTGAACTGTTAAATTTAACTTATATGAATCAACCAACCTGTTCAATATTATATATATATATATATATATATATATATATATATATATATATGTATGTATGTATATATGTATGTATATATATATATGTATGTATGTATGTATTATCTATATATATAACTTATAATTTATTGTTATTTGCAATAGTTTTTTTTAAATAACTGATTTCTAGGAGAAACAATTAAAATAAAAGCATTTGATTTTAATAAGATTTTATATTTATATTGTTTTCGTCGGATTACTTGAAAAACATAAAATTTATGGATGATTTTTTTTAAAGTCAATTGTTTTTTTTTTTTTAAATTATAACAAATAAGTTCTAATACATTTTAAGTTTAATGGTATTTTGATCTCTACTAAATTTGAAAACCTTTAATTCGATATCTATTGAGTTTCTGTTACAGGTATTTTATTTTGGTCATAAAATTTATGATTAAATATGTTTTTATCCCTTAACTTTCATTGAAAACTGGAATTAGTCCCTCTTCAAACTTTTGGACTAATTTAGTCTCCAAACTTTAAAAATGTGTGAATTTAATCCTTTTAACCAAATTTTGTTAACTTTATTTGATGTTTCAAATGCATTTCTCAGTTAATATTGAAGAAAAAATGTGCCAAAAGGTATAAACAACTCAAATGCTATTATGAAACGCACTTAAAACATCAAATAAAGTTAACAAAATTTGGTTAAAATGACTAAATTCACACATTTCTAAAGTTTGGGACTAAATGAAACGAAAGTTTTCAAGAGAGACTAATTCCAATTTTCACTAAAAGTTAAGGGACCAAAAACATATTAAATCCTAAAATTTATTATGTTTTTTTCGTCATATTCTGGTCAAAATTTAATAAAATTTTATTTAATAAATACAAGAAATAGATACTAAATAAAGCACATAAATATTCATTTAAAATATTTTTTACTTTGAATATAAAATAAACTATAAAAAAAATACTACCATTTAGTTATATTATCATAGCTCATTTCCATATCAAACTAACCTACCTAACTTAACTAAATTGATTTAGTTTGGGTTTTCAAAATCTAAACTAAATAAGTTCTTTATTTGCAAAATAAATCAAATCTATCTAATTAAACATGACAAACTAAATGCTATTTTATGTGAAACTCGAACTGATGCAACTGACGAACATAATATTATAAAGTTTGATTTGATTTTAATAATTGTGTTAGGTCTTTGTTACGGAAATTTGGGCCGAAGATAGAGAGCGAAGAGTTGAGCCCATGTTTCAGAACCAAAGCTGGCCCATATTTTGAGCCCTATTATGAAAGTGTAGAAGTAAAAAACCCTAATTTGCTTGCTATCATAAATCGCAGGTGTAGCGGCAAAGAGTGAAGGAGGTTCGTTCCGAGACCCGAAGCAGCAATGGTTCTTCGTCTCTCTCTGTCTCATTGTTCCGCATCTATAGCAATGTTAATTTTCTGTCTCTAACTATGTTCATTTGAATTGGACACACAGGGGATCGATCTGAAAGCCGGAGGTAAAAGCAAAAAGACGAAAAGAACAGCACCAAAGTCCAATGATATCTATCTCAAGCTTTTGGTTAAGGTAGGTTTCAACTCACTTCTCTCATGGTTTTTTCTTTGTGGTCAGTGATGATAAATGTGATCCCAGCTCATTATGAGACCTTCACCATCGAAAGGTCCGGGAATAGAATTTTCCACATTTTTCTGAGCCACTTTCTCCCATAAGCGGTGCCGTTTTTATTTTTTGTTTGATTTCTTCTGTTATGATGTTTTTAGAAGCTGTTAAAGAAAGTTTCATTTAACCCTTGTGAGACTTCACCTCATTTTTTGTTGTTGTATGTTTGTTTGCTTTACTGCAGTGCAGATCCGTTTTTACCTTAAGGCTGAATTTTAAATTTGAAATATTAGCTCTAGAATTCCCTTGATTATGGATTGATGGAGCTTGTACATGAGAAAGGTTCCCGATGATGTTTTATCTCATTTTACCATGCTAATTCTGATTATAGATGATTAATATTTTCAGTTTAATTACTGAGGGAACTAGTCTATTTCACTGGTACTTGACAATATTGATATTCAAGTTTACAGTTGTTATTATCTTTGTATTATTTTTTGTACCGTTTCTTCTCAAAATTTTCCCGTTTTATCTACAATATTTATTTGAATATGTGCATTTTTATATATACTTTGAAGTGTTCTGATTTTTTTTAAAATGATCAGCTTTATCGCTTCCTTGTCCGGAGAACTGGCAGCAATTTCAATTCTGTTATACTCAAGCGATTGTTCATGAGCAAGGTTAACAAGGCCCCACTTTCTTTGTCAAGGTTGATTAAGTATACCAAGGGAAAGGTTCGTTTGTTTTGTAATATTTTTCATTTTTAATTTTGCATTTGTTTCCATTGGTTTAATTTTAAAATTTATCTATGCAGGAAAATAAGATTGCTGTTGTGGTGGGGACTGTAACTGATGATATCCGTGTTTATGAAGTTCCACCCTTGAAAGTTACAGCACTCAGGTTTACAGAGACTGCTCGTGCAAGAATTGAAAAGGCTGGCGGTGAATGTTTGACATTTGATCAGTTGGCTCTTAGGGCACCTCTTGGACAGAACACGGTATGCTTAGAGGCTACTGTTGGCTTTTTCGTTATCTGAATATCTGCTTTTGTTCTCTTGAAAGCTTTTGTTTTTTTTTCTCGTGTTATATCAGACATTACCATATCCTTTATAGTTCCTCCTTTAATCTTCTGTTTTTCTTGAAGTTATTTTTTCTTACACATTTGGTTCGTCTCAATTTCTTTTGCTTTTTGATACATACTAATCAAACCAAAGATTAATATTGATTAATAAAAACTGAGTGATTAGATGAGAAACATGGGATACATATAGTTTAACCTATTTGTGCCTAGAATTAGTTCTTTTTCTGAATATTGAGTGGTCTGCTCGTGGTTGAATTTTTTCATATTACCTTCACATTGTTTCAGTCATTTGCTTTAAATATTTTATGATGAATTAATAATCCTTACTGCATGTTGTATTGATCTAAGTCGCGTACTTTTTAATTTTATCTGGTTGCTGAAGCTTTCATTTGCCGAGTTACCTGAACTGTGTAATTGCTGAATGCAGGTCCTTCTTAGAGGCCCAAAGAATGCTCGTGAAGCTGTGAAGCACTTTGGTCCGGCTCCTGGTGTTCCTCACAGCCACACCAAACCTTATGTTCGATCTAAGGGAAGGAAGTTCGAGAGGGCTAGAGGAAGGAGGAACAGCCGAGGATTTAGGGTGTGATGTGATAGCAGTGTTTAATTCTACGCTGGTATTATTACCTCTGGGATGCAAATTTTTCTTATATTTTAGACTGTTGATTGAGGCAGTTTTCTTGTTATTTGTATTCTGATAATGATTTGAGTACGAAGTTTTCATTTTTGGCTTTTATTTTCCGATTATGTGTTTTGTGAAAGCTTTAACTCAGTTTTGATGTCATATATTGGATAATCGTTAATTTTGTGGTACATACTTTGGCCTCTCCTAAATCTTACCATATACAAACTACGAAATTTTTGAACGACTAGCATCTATTATTTTTCTCATGAAAAGGCTATACTTAACTCTTCGGTACTGTTTTCAGTGATATTTGTGGCACCCAATCACTTTATGGCTAAACTTCAAATTATTGTAGATAAATTAAACTTGTTTCTTGATGCGCTGATGGCTGTTAATCCTAGACTAAACAAAAACATTGTCACGTTTTTTCTATATTGAATATATATTTTGAACCCACATTGATTATTCGTAATTGATTTGAGATCTGATTTTTAGAATTTGCATACACTTTTTTATATTTGAATAGTCTATTAACTTTTTCTTGTGTAAATTACCGTAATAAAAAGATTATATGTTAGAAAAACAGTTACTACATAAATTTAATAATAATGATAAGATTATAGGAGGGCTCGTAAAAGAATATATTACATGGATCAATTTAATCTTTATTTATAATCTGTGAATGAGTTCAGTCTAGGCTATACTAGTTTAGTATATAGTTAAGTTTTGCCCAATAATTGCTCAAAGCAATCTGCTTACGTTTGTGTTCTTGCAGAACACAACACGATCTCATGAAATAAATTTTACCTTGCCAAACAAGCATAAATAGAGCTTTAAGAAACGGAGCTAGCAAAAGTTGCCATAAAATAGAGTCTGTGACATAGTTTGTAATAAAATGTTGGAGTGAGTTATTGATATGCCCATGATTCAGGGTCCGAACTTCTTAAGAAAATGATAGATGTGATTGCTCACATTCTCTGCTGCTTCTTGGTTGCTGAAGTGTGCAACACCTTCTCGGCACATCTTTCTTGAAACCACCGTTGTGAACGTACTCCTTCGTCCCCGGTGAAGTGTACATCAAATCATCGCCAGCTGTAATGAACTTTACCGGTACATTCTCGATTCCAATTCCAGTCCACGATGCTGTTAGCTCCCAGTTTCTGCATAAACCATTCAAGATGCTACTATTAGCCACATGCTAATTTCTTATTATTTTTATCCAACTATCATAATATCAAAATGAATAAAATTTAGCACATGTCGTTGAGATTGAACAGAATCATTAAAATGAAAACGTCGTAGTATTAGTTTCTCAGCACACAAGCACATGTACATAAGAAAACAAATGAATGGATATCACAAGTTGAGATTTCTGTTGTAGCTCAGGCCTCCGGTGAAGCCAGTCTTCTGAAATTTAGTAACGTAATAATGAAGATCTTGTTGAGAGAGCCAAGACGGCAAGGTGGGTGAAGAATGGGGATTAAACCCAGTTCCATGGCCCGCTTTTGGAAAAACTGGTGGACCTGACATGTCTTGAAAACCAGCACAAAGAAGAACATAAGAGAACAGTGATAAACTCAAACTGTACTCCATGATGAATGTAAAACAGATACAATTGTGAGACCAGTTTTACGGGACGTAAATATGTTGTTCAACAGATACGCAGGCCATGGCAGCATCAATCATGTTCATACCATAAACTAAAACTATTTCATTTGAAACCACACTCACTGCTGCAAATAAAATGGCAGATGATTCATACTAATAAACCATTCTTTGTGTTCTCAGATTTGATATGCAGAGAAAGAATATACGAAGTATTTGATTTACCTGAAATCTGCATATGTAGTAGTCATCTCCATACAAGGCACGAAAACCGTCTACGGTCTTCTGTTGAGGATTTTTTCCGAGGAAGGGTCGGAAGGGGACACTGAGGGAAACATAGGCGTTGATTCTGTCTGGCCGGAACATGCAGAGGTACCAACCGATGATGGCACCCCAATCGTGTCCCACCAAGAACACTTTTTTCCACACCCAGAGAATCTATGAGCGCAACGATGTCTCCCACGAGGTGAAAACACGTGTAGCTGCTCTCCGGAACAGGGGCCTCCGTGTCACCGTAGCCTCGGAGATCAGGCGCCACAGCACGATAACCGCGGGAAGTGAGAGCCAGAATTTGGTGGCGCCAGGAGTACCATAGTTCAGGGAAGCCATGTGTACAGGATCGGACGTCATATACGCCGTACGTCCACAGTAGACCAAGCCGGACGCCCGTGGGTCCGCGATCGCGAAACGGATAAAAGATGAGGCCGGCCGGTCATACCGTCTGCTAACCATGCCGCTTATATGGATTGGCTTGGTTCAAAAACTGAACTTTGGGAACCGGCCAGTCGCTAATTAACCAGGATTAAGATAAGTTGAGGTTAAAAACTATTGGGCTGAATTTGGGCCGTGATTAACTCTTCACTGATCCCAAGCCCATAGCGAAAACGATAAATACAAATCCAGAGAGTGGTAGATAGGTTGCATTTACTGCATATTTATTACTGTTCGATAGAAAAACACCATTATTGTCGACTGACTTTAGTATCGGATAATCTTTTGCAGGTCTTCCACCTGCGCATTGAGAAGGAAATTGAGGAACGGAGGATCGGACACACTGAGTACGAGCAGAAGAGGACGTGGATACATTTAACGAGACAACCCTTCACCTCCAAAACACCATGCAAGAACAACACCACTGGGCCTTCTCCTTTCTCCGTAACATGCAGCTTTATGCCATTTACTTCCACCATACTGTGCTTTATGCTCTCCATCTCTCTTCTCTCTCTTTTCCTCCTCCACACCCTACCCAAACTTCCCAACAATCCAAAATTTAATATTACGGCCTGTTACGTTGGGGACAAGCTAGAAAAAGGTAACCTTTTATTCACACCATATAACTTTCTCTCCAAGTTCATATTTTACTTCTCTTTTTCTTGTTCCGAAACTAAAGTTCTCATTCTCATCTCCCTCACACCCATTTGCCTGTATCCCCAACCCATCTCAAAGTCTCAAATTTTCCAGCGGTGCTTGAATCTTGAAAATTTCCACCATTCTCAAGAACTCTATAGCTCACTGTTTTCTATATTAATTTTCTAGTCAACCTTGGGCGTTGAGATTTGCCAGTTTTGACTTCGAATTATTTGACCAAAGTCTGTGTTCCAATAGAGCCTCTTTTGGGGGTCAAAACGTTGAGATCAATCTTTCTTCCTGTAGAGCATTTTCAACAATAGAAAGAAGCATTAATGCTTCTTTCGTATAGTATCAATATTGATACTGTGCTTCTACTGTTTGTTCAAGTTTTCTTTCTTCATCTTGATATTTTTCATAACAGTGTTTAAACTGCTTCTAGTGTTTTTATAACGCCGAGCGCAATCTTTTCGCACTGCAAATGGAAAGAGGTTGAAATAATACTCAGAACAAATTTAAATGCAGAAAAAATTGACAAAAAGACAAATTCTATTTTCGTATTAAAATTTAAAAGTTAAAAACATATTTAATTCTTAAAATAAAAAAAATAAAACGAATATTTTATTTATTACATAAAATATTATTATTGATTTTTAATAATATTTAAATAATACAATAACTATTCAAAGTAAGATGATCAGTAAAATAAAAGTATAATGTACAAAGTTGGAAAAAAGTATATTAACTAAATAAACATAATAATTTTTATTTTATGCATTTAAGAAATTTTCTAATGTTAGTCATACCCTCAACAATTTTCTAATGTTAGTCATACTTTCAACAATTTTCTAATGTTGTCATAATCAACAAATTTTATATGAAAACGATTTATAATTGTTGTGTAAAAAACTATTATCCATTCACCTGGATAATGATTTTAAAATGTCTAAAATTTGGAAAAAGTACTTTACATTATGTCATCAATAAAATTTTACTCCATTATTATCTAATGCAATACTCTTTTGTTTTCCTGAAGGATGCTGTAATAAATGGTGCAAGATACCTTAAGATATTAATTGTAATTTTATTTGTATGACTTTTACATGAGCTGCGTTCTAGTAAAGTATTTTGTCGTATCATTAAAAGCTTCTTGACTTATACTCAATACTAAAAAAACTATACAGTAGACATTTTACTCACATAATTAATAGTTTCTCTGTCTATACACAAGATTAATAGACATATTAATTAATGATCTTTTTATCTGCCTTCAAGAATAGGACATTCTTATGGAGGAAAAAGTGATAGTACTTTTGCTTAAGATCTGACTATAACTCTGGGAAAAAAGTAATTTTGACTGAAATCATCCCAATAACTTTTCTTTATTAACAGTTTACACGCATAACCGAAACTTGATTTGCAGAATTGAAAGTGGGTTTGCTTTGAGATAGAAACTGTGACTCAGAACTTGTTGATGAAGTCATGAATGTGATTGGCCACATCGTGTGCTGCTTCTTGGTTGTTGAAATGGCCAACTCCTTCCTGCACCACCACTTCCTCCAGAGATGCCACATCTTTCTTGAAACCACCATTGTGAATGTACTCCTTCATCCCCGGGGAATTGTACACCAAGTCAACGCTACCTGTAATGAACTTAACCGGTACATTCTCGATTCCTACTCCAGTCCACGCTGCTGTCAGCTCCCAATTTCTGCAAAACCATCACCAAAATCATAACTTTTACAAACCATATTGCTTAATGCTTCATTGTATCAAATCTCATGTTAAGAACATTAGATAGATTAAGCTATGAAGCTCCCAGATTCTTTGCCAGTTTTGTTTTCCTTTTCTGTAAACAAACATCTGATATAATCCCAAATAGATTAATAAAGGAACTCACAGGTTGAGATTTCTGTAATAGTTCAAGCCTCCACTGAAGCCAGACTTGTTGAATTTCGTAACGAAATAATCAAGATCTTGTTGAGTGAGCCAAGAGGGCAGGGTATCTGGAGTATGGGGATTAAATCCAGTTCCATATTCCCCTTTCGGGAAAATGGGTGGACCGGAATGGCGCGTTGTGAGTATGTTCTTCATCAGATATGCAGTGTCAACGCGACCCAGCTCAGCTTCCATCTTCCCTGGTTCCTGTGCGACACATCACATCAGCACATACACTACTATGCTTAAAATTTATGAGATATAACATAACCCACTTCAAGCAAAATACAATCTCGTAACATCAATAGCAGTAGCATAGATTCACAAGGACACCACCCTATATGTAGCAGTACCATACACTTTTGGTGCTTACTTATCATTCTTTACTTTGATTTTTGTCTTGTTCCAGAGATATAGATCTCTGATATTACTTTATTGGAAGTATTCTAGAAGCAGTGTTGGTAGCTGATACGGAAGAGCTTAAAAGAAGAGAAAGTACCTGAAATCTGCATATGTAGTAGTCTTCTCCGTACAAGGCACGAAAAATATCGACGGTTTTCTGTTGGGGGTTTCGTCCGAGGAAGGGTCGGAAGGGGACACTGAGACAGACATACGCCTTGACTCTGTCTGGTCGGAAGAGGCAGAGGTACCAACCGAGGATGGCACCCCAGTCATGGGCCACAAGGAACACTTTGTCCACACCCAGAGAGTCGATGAGCGCCACGATGTCACCCAGAAGGTGGAAACACGTGTAGGCGGTGATTGGCGCAGGGGCATCGGAGTCACCGTAGCCTCGGAGGTCAGGGGCAACAGCACGGTAACCGAGGGAACTGAGATAGAGAATCTGGTGGCGCCATGAGTACCAGAGTTCGGGGAAGCCATGCAAGAACAAGACCACTGGACCTTCTCCCTTCTCTGCAACATGCATCTTTATGCCATTTACTTCCACCGTTCTGTGAACTATGCTCTCCATCGTTTCTTTTATCTCTCTGTTATCTGTTCTGGTTATCTTCTGCAGATGAACACCTCCTTCCCTTACTTATACTTCCCACCTCATTCAAAACAATTTATTCTTTTTTATTATTTATATTCTTTCTTCTTCTCTTTTATCAAAATATTTCAATTTTAATAAAAATGCGGCATAAGTACCATATATGATATTACAGTATTTCAATTTTCATATGATGGAGTCTGTTTGAATTTTCTTTTTAATAAATTTATTGGTTTAACTAAATAAATTTTATGTAATATTACATGAAAGAGTGAAATATTTATTACAAAATATAAATAACGTTTGCAAGTTAAGATTGCTTTTTTAGGGACTAAAAAGCGACCAAAACATATTAATAAACAAAAGCGAATAGATCGGTGATAAAAAAAAGTGATATATGTATCACATGTTATTAATATAATCTTTGAAACTTTAATCAGCGGCGGCTCATCTTTTCTAATATAATATAGTTTGGGATAAAGTCGGGTGTATCAAATTCAATGCATGTAGTACTGTTATAATAATAGTAGTAAAATAATATATTTTACTTTTGTTTACGTGTGAATGGACAGGTCCGCACTCGGTGTCTTTTTAATTTTTCAAACACTTTTTTTAAAACATTATAGTAATTCTTTAAAGTTAAAAACAATAATAATTCATGCACACTAAAAAGATTTATCAAGACTTAAAAAATACATTTAGAGAGAAAATTTAATTATGGGATATATCATATGATAAGAAAAGAAATAAAAGAATAAATATGTAACAAATGTATACAAAATTAAAATGTATTACTTTTTGAACATGTTTTTTTATAAAGAAGATCATTTTACAGAAAGTATAAACAATAATAAGTTTATAAGATATATAATGTAATATGAAGAGAAAAATATAAACAATAAAACATGTGTTTAAGATAAAGATGTATAGTTTCAGGATGAATACTAAGATATGTTAATAATTTTTTGAAAAAAGAAATTTTTTATAATTATGTTATTATTTTATTGGTACGTATATTTGAAATTACTCACAAAAATTACGGTAAAAAAAATATAAAAAAACATTTTCCTTTGATTGTTTAATTTGGTTTCATTATCCCGCTTTCATGATGCTATATATAAATCTAACACTTTGATTTTACTTGAATTTTCTCTCACTGACGTCAGATTACAATGAGTTTTGAAATTGGACAAGTTATCATGTTAGTAGGACTTTATAAGAAGTTGTATCGATCCGAAAAGATTTGGCATTTGAAGTGATGAGAATAAGAAGCAACGTCCATACGAAGTATATATATTCAATTTTGTTAACAACAAAATCTCCTAAGGAGAGGTTTAATTACATTAAATCTATGTACTCCTAAAGGAACGAGTGATGATCTTTCTGCAGTTGGAGAATTTTGGCATTACAGAATATACAAAAAGTTGAAACTAATGAAATAAAAGTGAAAGATCGAAGCCTTAATCAAACGAGTCTAGTCTCTGGGATGCACATTAGCACGCATGCTCCTTTCTAAAAAATGTTTAGCGCTTGGGGAGGATGTCAGGGTAGTAAGGAATCCTAGTAATTCTAACCCATTGATCTCCATGAAAAAACTTGAGTGGTGTGAATTGCCTGGCAGATTTTGAATTGAGTTTCTTGATCCCACGCCATTTTACACGCTTGGATTTGTTTGAACCAGGACCACTGTTATTGTACTCACCATAGAAACAAGTGTTCATACCTGAAGGACCCCGTCGTCCTTGCTTTGCCATATACCCCTCAGGTTTAATAATGTCCTCCATGTAAGTGTTCATGAAGATGGTCCTCGAGTAATTCTTCAGTGGACGACCAAGGTAAGCCTTCCTATCAGACTTCACTTTACGCTTGGCCACGATGGAACTTCCTTGGATCACTATTCCTGATGGTTGCTGCTTCTCCTTTCTACCTTGAGAAGTCACAATCAATTGTTGGTTTTTCAATGGCTTTCTCACCACGAAAGTGCACTTTTGAAAAACAGCCACTGCATCACCAAAGACAAAATCCACCGTGCCTGAAACGGTGCATTCCCGATAAAATTGACGCATGGCATGAACATGCAACGTGCCCTCGTACCCATCTATTGAGCATCTGTAGAAAATGGATCTGTCTGCTTGGACCCTTAGGGCTACTGCTTCATGTTTCTGGGGACCAGCGGAATTCTCAAACCCTATATTGAGGGCCACAAAGTAATCTCCATGGATAGCTGCATGCATACATAAACTAATTAACA